AAGTTGCTGGTGTTGATTCTTGCTGCCTCAAAGACCTCGTCTGACGTGCCAGGTGGTGGTTTGCAGTACACTAACTTTCCACAACAATAATCCTTAAGAACAATTCTTGCGACTTTGTGGTAATCTAAGAGCCCTCGTGTGTTGGTGTAGTATCTTCTACTCTTTGCAAACCCAGCCAAGAACAACTCAGCCAGTGAAGGTGTTCGGGACTCAAAACAGTCGATAAAATCTCCCAAGAAGTCCTCTGGCTTTGGCATAGTGAATTTGTAAAACTTCTCAAGAATAGTCGGGCTGATACGTCGTGTTACCAAATCCATTGGTCCAATGCAGTCCTGCATTCTGTCAATAGAAAGTACACCACTGCAAATCATCTCTTCCTTTGATGACAAGAAAGATGGGAACACCAAGCCTGGGCAATCACACAACATCATTTCGTCATTAAGGATGATCGTCTGGAAATGCTTTGTCTTTCCTGGTGTCGAGGTCACGCCAACTTTCTTCACGCCAATCAAGGAGTTAATTGTTGATGACTTTCCAACATTTGGGAATCCACAGAACCCGATGACCTTTCGTAGGTTCTTCTCATTCTTTGGGATATCGGCAACAAGTCGTGTGAGCTCGGCGATAAGTTCTACCGCCGTCAGTACAGTATGTCCGTGTTGCAAGTTATCGCTTGTGATCTTTTCATCTTTCTTACTGTTCTTATCTTCCTCTTTTTCTTGTTGTTTTCCCTCAATTTTCTCGCTTTTTATCTCCTTTTGTTCTGCCATTGCAATCTCATCACTCTCATTTTCTTTCTTTTCGATTTTTTCATTGACATGATCACTCTCCGTTTCGTCCATAAAATCTCCCTGTTTTTTTCTTCTTCTCATCCTTTTTTCTTCCTTTCCTTCAATCTCCTTGTTTTCTTTCAGCGCTGAGTAAAAGAGAACTCGAATCCCGTTTTCGTCAAAATATTTCAACCACAATCTTCTCTGATTTTCGGTTAATAAGTCGGCCTTGTTAACTAAAATACCAGCCTTTTTAGTTCCAAGTTCTTTAATATACTTAACTAAATCTCTTGAGTAATAAAAAAGTGGATCTCTTCCATCAACAATTTGTAAAACCAAATCGCTTTGTTCGCAAGTCCTCCAAAGTTGCCTCCAGAACTCAATATTCTTTTCGTATGGAGTGAGAAGCAGTTTCGTTTCGTTCTGCAATTCGTATAATTTCTTTTTCCAGTCCATAAACTCCTTCTGCTCGTTCTGGTCGACTTCATGAGCACTCATCTCACTTTTCCAGATTGCACGTCGCGGAACGACCAGAGCATATGTAGACCGAATTTGCTCCAATTCTTCATTCGACTTCTCGGTCACAGTGGTCACAGCTTTCTTGTTGTACACCACGTTGTATTGTTTCTCAACGGCGAACGCAGTGTTCGTCGCAGCAACCTTATCGACAAGCTCTTGTAAATCACACGACTCAGTGACGGACATTCCGCCAGATGTGCCATTCACATTGATACCTTCCATTTGACTCTTACCTTCAAACTCCTTTTCTCGACGCTCACGGCGGTCACGAGCGTTGGAGCGCTTCAGGGACTTTCCAATAAGTGACGACTTCTTCTTGGGTGGCATTTGTCTGGTTTTTCCTTCTTTTCAGACCAAATAAAAATCAGGTTTCTTTTGTGTTTTCTTATTTCTATATTTTAATAGTTATTTAACTAAATACAATTCATTCTCCTCTTTAAACTTTTTTTAAATTATTTTAAGTTGTGTTTATTAATACTATTACTATATAGGAAGACAAGACTCAAAAATTAAACCTGTTATTGATTATTTTTGAATTAATAATAGAAATAATAACTATATATTAATATTAATAATTAACTATTGTATTAATTAAAATACACAAATTATTTTTGTATATTTTTAAATTTTAAAATGATATTGTACTAAAACAGTAGTTTATTATCTTATTTACAAAACAATTAAAATAAATAGTAAAATAAATTATATTTATAATAAATCAATCAAACTTGGAATTCCTGATATTTTACGTTAATATAGTGTAATACCACAAATTCTATATTTCCAGTCAATTTTTATCTTGTGATGCATCATTTTTGCTTTGATTTTCGATTTGTTGGCTGTGGATCTCTCCAAGTTCAACCAAATCAAGACCCGACAGAAACTCTCCTTTTTCTTCCTTTCCATCGATTACGAATCCCAACTCGTCATTTTCGTCCAAATTCTCAATCTCGACTCTCATCTTCTCATTTTCAAGACTTCGCCGAAAGAGACCATTTTTATGGCAGTAAAAAGGGCAGACCATTTTCTGTGCTAAAACGCACTGTTCACACAAGGGGACTTTTTTACATATCTTTTTGGCAAAGAGAATAGTCACCTTAGGAAAACAATTCCAGATGTCTTGTGGGACCCACCCCTCAACGTCGACGCGCACTTTCTCCAGATTACTTTCCTCCGCCGAAATCCACTCTAAACGTCGCATTAAGAGGAGAGACCGTTCGTCGACATTCAACGCGGAGATCAACCCGTACCCAGCAAAACAAATGATGTTCGCAACTTTAAGACCGACTCCTGGAAAGGTTTTGAGTGTTGCGATATCCTTTGGGACAGTATCGTGATACTTCGTGTGGACCAAAGTCGCACACGCTTTGATGTTCTTGACCTTTTTCTCTTTAAAGCGACAACCAGTTAAGAGTTCAAGTAAAATGTCTTCGGGAGCTTCGGAAAGTGTTTTTGGGGTTAATACCTTATAATGCTCGATTAATTGTGTTAAAGCTTTCTTTCGCTGGGGTTCAGAGGTGAGCGGACTAAGAAGAGCCCCAACAAGGGCATAGAACGGTTTCAACTCAGGAGTTGGGGATAAGTCTGCTAAATGAGTTGTCCCAAATTCAACTTCTTCGGCGTTAAGAGTGTCAACGTACGTCTTCATTTGCTGAAACACACTCAGACGATCTTGAAGCTCAACATCGGATAAAGGTTGCCTCTTCATTATTACTGGAAGATGACTAAATCGGTTGAAGATTATCAAAGTTGTGACGAACCTAAAAACTCAATTAATTCGATTTAGTATTATATTTAATAGCTATTTATATTATAAAATATAATACATAGGATTACAAAAACGAGAGTTATATGGCATTAAAGTTAGCCAAATCATAATGATATTATTAAACTTGAAAAAGAAGAAAAAATCAAATAAAGAAATTTTGTTCTCTTTCAAAAAGTAAACAAAAACCTTCTACATCCGCACCAAAATTATCATAAAAATACTTGAAGAGGAACTTGTTTGATAAATGCAACAAATTGTCAAAACAGAGCAACACCTCCGCCGAATAATTGATTTAATGCAAACAGTATCTGCGACCACCGCGAGTATGGTCATTACAGTTTGTTTTTAAATGCAATTGATAGTAGTGTTATAGAGGCAAGACAAGAATAATAGTCAAATGATTCGTTATGAATCAAATTGGAAATCCCAAATCAAAACAACAAACCCTCACCTTAAGACCAAAGTCACGGCCTTGCAGCCAGTGTTGGAAGAGACCAAACTTGTTCTAGCTGATGAAAGGAATACGTTCAAAGAAAGAGTTAGTCCTTCGTATGCTATGGAACTTGCTTCACACATTTTTTCCATGTGGAACGACAGTTTGACAATTATCGACAACCTTTCAACAGAGTCTTTAATTCTCTCGCTGCTGTACGTCATCTTCAATTCAATGCGACAGTTTGTCTCATCAACACTCTAATTATTTACACACAGCCCAGTGTTCAAGCTTTTCAAAGATGCTGTGGTTACTAAGTGCATCAAACAACAACACATCGGCGACTGTTTTGGTGTTTTTTGTAAATTGAAGAAGTTGTCCGTACACACCCTTCAATACACCTCTCGTGCACTCTCTCGCCTCGGATCCCCCTCCTTAAATATCACCAATCTTTCTGGACAGGTTTGTGATTGTGAGAAAATGACAACTTTACTATATTCTATTATAAAAATATCATTATCTATAGAACACTATTTTATTGTATCATAATTTGTTATTAAACTGTAATACTCAACAGAATATCAAATGGCGTATTATATTAAAC